TAGAGAAGCTGGGTTGGTTTGAGTCAAGTTCAGATCTCACAATGCCTCTTTTGGAAGCCAAACCGTTTGAGGGAGCATGGGCATCCTTTTGAAGTCCTAGTATCATTTTAGTCATTTTGGAAAAGAAGCTTTTCAGAATAATTTTGGTCTTAATTTTCTCCTGGTTTTGTTGAGTGTGAACCTTCTATATTTTTTCTGTCCCTATGGAAATGATAACTGCATTTATCATTTAGTAACTCGTTAAGATATAGTATATGAAATGAAGAAAAGCAGAAAGACATAATATTTACCAACCGCTAAATCCTCAAATCTTTGTTTATCTTGCCTACTCAATGTACAAATTTAAGCACCAAAATATCTTATTACAAAATAATTTTTAGTTTTATTTTAGTTACCTATCCATAAAGAATGGGGACCAAGGCATCCTATGATGCTGTCTGAAGTTACCATTCCATATTAATAGGGAGAGATACGGATTTACGACAATTCATTATCAATAAAGTACTATAGGTAAGGAGAATGTTTTTGTAGTCTACTAATTATTGTAAAGGACTTCTCAAATTTCATCCCAACATTTAAAAATAGTAATAATAGAGTATTATCTATAAGAGTTAATGTTGAATATGTAAATGTACTTTATCCGATGATCAAATAAAAAATAAAAATGTATAATTTGATACTTACTTAAAATTTTTAGTTTAAACTCAATGTGAAAGATATATTTATAAAACAACACGTGATAATTTGGACCACAAGATGTAAGTCCACAATTATGTGAAACCATTCACACCCTTCTAGTCTCAAGTCAAATGGATGAGTTGTCTGAGGTGCCAAATTGAAATTGATTCTCCTTTCGTTTTTTGAAATATCACGTGGGATGATGAACAATTAAATTGCAAAGCTTCAAAATCCCGTGAAAAAAAGGGCATAACTCTAAATTCACTCTCAAAAAATATCGGTAGGAACACATTTATTCTTAAAAAAAAAAAAAGAATAAATTACTATTTCAAATCATAAATCAATACAAATCATTCCTTTTTTAATGTTTTTCGTTAAAAAATGCTAATGTGCAAATAAAACTCTAATGTTTTTTGTTGAAAAATGAATAATTTCTATTGATTTATAATTTAGAGAGGTAATTTATCCCTAAGTTTTTTTAAAAAATGAATGTATCTCTACCGATATTTTTTAAGAGTAAATTTGAGGATTTTGCCGAAAAAAAAGGACTTGCCAGTCGCACTCATGTAGTTGGAAGGCATATCTTCCAGTTTTATAGTTTAGAACTTAAACGATACTTTCAAAAAAGGTAAAGGGCTTAAGATTGCATTTAGCCTTATACACTAAAAATATAAACCATAAGGCACGGACCCACAAACAATTAGGTGTGAAAGTGAATCTATCCACACCATCCCTACTCAATGGCGGGCCGACTTACTTAAATTTTGGTTTGTTGGGCAGTGGGGAGGTCGTACCTTCAAATTTAGAGTCAATGATATTGTTGAATTGCACCAGACTTTCGGACCACTTAAGAGGTATATTTAATGTTTTAATAATAATTAAAATTTAAATCATATCCTTGTTATGTATAACATTTTTCATTTTTTTACCTTTAAATTGTACTCCCTTGTTTCAATTTATTTGATGTGCACGAAGAATTAAAAAAAAAAGTAATTAATTACTCTTTTTTTTTTTGAACAATTTTGTTATGGAACGGGTTCGAAACCCACCCAGAGAAAGGGATATGCACTTTTTAATGACTCTAGCCACTGGACCACACGGACCAAGTGCAAGTAATTAATTACTCTTGAATTAAGAGCTTTTTAGTTTAAAATATCATTATACCCTTAGTTTAAAAAAGAGGTTGGGTAGTTGGGGAGGAGAAAAAATTAGTAAAAAAACACAAGTGAGAGTAAATTTGATAAAAAGAAATTAATGTAATCTTGATATAGGAAAACGTCAATTATTTAAGAATAATTTTTTCTATTCAAAATGACTAATGTTATGAAACAGAGGGAGTATCCATTAAAAAAAAATTGATATCGTTGAATTGTTACCTTACTACTACAATATAGATAATACATGTGTAATGATCAGGAGGATGACAATTTAAAATGAAAATTTAAGAATGATGATATGATATAAATTATATTATTTAATTAATTATTTAATATAATATCATGAATATAAAAAATTAATTATTATATAATATAATATATCATTATTCTTAATTTTTAAATTTTAATTTTAATCTCATTTGCCATTAATCTTTATTAATTAGAACTGAAATGGTTTCAATTTTTACAGGAAGACACATGGATCCCTTGGTCCTCAAATATTACCCCATTAAAACCTGCGTTGAAGCCAACCAACGCAGTGGCTCAATAATAAAGTAAAACCTAATGAATTTAAGTCGAAAATGCACAAGATGGAACGATGAAATAAGTTAAAAAATGGAAAAAGATTGCTTGATTAAGTCGGATGAATTAATTATTTTTAATCAAATCACTTTATGCCTTAAAAGGTATTTTTTGGGTCACAAATATATACAAAAAATATATAAATTGATATTAATT